TCCTTTGTCAAGCATGGCTAATAGTCTGCTTCATAAGAAGTGGGAAATTTGAAAAATATATATTTGACATGCCTCAAAGTTACAACTGAAATGGTCACCAATGCGACCTAAATTTCAATTTGTCTACTGTCTTAAACTCAAAGGTAGCCAAATGACTACCTTGAAAAATATCTTGTGGTGACTATCTTCTATTGCTACACATATGTAGACACAAAAATAAACATGTCTGCTACTAACTGTACTCGTAAATAATTCCTCCTAAAGTCAACAATGAACCGAAATACATAAATATTAATGTAATTAGTATTATATTTTAGTTGATAGTATATTGGATAAGCAAGGATATACCGATGTTATCCAGTTACATAAATTGCATCATTGTCAGAGTCACAAATAACAAAACTCAAGTGCAGTTTCCACTTATATACAATTCCAAGACTAGTGCTATGACTTGTGCATGTAATAGTTATTTGATAAAAGATAATTTCAAATGCTTTTGGCTACCTACAATATTGGCTTGACTTCTTGATTTTACCACTGGCTACTCAGAAAAAACTACTTGTAGCCATATGGCTACTTGGTAAAAATTGAAGCTTTTGAGGCCTGTTTAAATTGGCAAAAAAAAATACTGACATGCCAGATTTAAAGCGATGTGCTAATGCCAGAATAACATTTCCTTTGGTTAGCCTTACACCATGTACATTAATAGCATGACATAATGTTGGTTGGTTGGTTTGTTGTTTAACACCGCACTCAGCAATATTCCAGTTATATGACAGCGGTCTGTAAATAACTGAGTCTGGACCAGACAATTCAGTGATTAATATGAGCATCGATCCACGCAATTGGGATCGATGACATCCATCAAACCAAGTCAGCGAGCCTGACACCTCTCTCAGTCCAGTTAGTCATTTCGGGAAATATCAATAAAACACAGCTCAGCATACACCCTTGACTTACTCCACATGAGTTCTATGGAGATTTAACAACTTGTTAGGTGGTTTCCCCCATAGAGACTGGTATAGGTCAGCAGACTGGTATAGGTCAGCAGTATGGCTGGTGCAAGCATACCACTTCATAAAAGTACCTAATATTTGTCTGTTGGTTATATCATCAAAATATATGGAACATACATTCGTCACAAGAATGTGACAAGTATTTCCGTATATTGTGGCAGCTTATAAACCTTTCAAGAAATGTAAAAATAGTTTGTTATAAAAAAATCTAAAAACTCCCGAAGACATTGATGGCTAAATGGTACAAGTTTACTGTTTTCTGCGCAGGATTAACGGGGTTGAGAATAAAACGTCAGATTTGGGTTTGTTCCGTGTAGGTAACTCTTACCAGTTCAAACTCGAATGTGTACCTGCTTATATTTACCAATCACATCCGGGCATCATTAAGCGCTGCGTTCTATCCTACTGCCAATAGTTATGTGCAAACACAATTGTCATCCAAAAGTAATAGTCACATCTGATTTAATTTCCAAACACCATTCGGAATTCTGTGTTTGACAACATAACAACCACTGTTTGAAGTATTTCGTCAAAAATATTGTCGATATCCCAATCTGGTAAGCTGTCAATTTTCTGATAAAGTAACACGTGACTTTGGAAATTGCCGGCGATCATGCCTTACCGTCGCAGAAGCTATCAGAGAGAGTTGGGTATGGACTCTGCTTCTTTCTCAATCGGCTCTCCGCCATAACGTCCACGGAATTCTTGCTCCAAAGGCGACGGAGGTCGCAAATAACGGGCGTAGCATCTTCGTAAGACTTCAACTCGCTCGGTGTTTGCACGCACTTTTTGTTGACAGCGACCACGTGCTCGCTTCGTTAGATCGGTCACGTGACATATGATGCTAAGTGAAATTGACAAGCGGAGTATGTGGACTATTTGCATATCTCGTAAACTGTGTTGACAATGGTGCATCATTAGATCACTGCTCCCGGCATACCTGTTAAATGATTAATGAATTACAGCGTGATGGGATGGGATATGTGCACACCAAATTGTCACTATGTACAAACTTAGAGGTACACACTATGCTTATTGACAGAGTGACAGTGTAAAGTTATTCTTGAAAAAGAACATTCTAATAATGTTTCGGTATTTTTTTTATGTGTGTAGTTAAGAACTTGTAATTGAGTTATATTAACTGCTTCTGGGCTGAAGCAATAGAGTAAATATTGTTGGTTGAACAGGCTGAACAGACATCATTGTGTGTGTATACATGGCTGGGATTGACCGCTGACATCGTGAAGTGGGTTCTCTGACGTGGAAATGAGGTGTGCTTGACGCGACAAAATTGAAATAAACTTTCATAATGAACCCACGACCTTCGTGGTGGGTGTACGTTCGTTATACAGCAGCTGCACATTTAATTACTCCACCGTTGAAATTAACCATACAAGGAAGTTTTACGAGTATGAACAAGGACGATGGTAACGTCTGCCAATAGAACCTGTCTACAGATATTTTGCCGATGAATGTCATTATCTATTGTGTACATACTTTGATAACTAATGCAAATTGTACCGACCTTCTGAAACAAAGCATCACTCCAAGTATTAATAACTGACATAATTCCATAATTATCATTCTGTGACGTCATAGTACACGTCCACTTTCAAGTAAAACCGCCGTCTTTGAATACTAAATGTCTTATAAACCTCAATACTCTATTTGTGACAAACTGATTAACAACAGAGGGCGTGTGACAGTTCTGGCTCTATCCACAAAGCGTCTATAGTGCAACGACAGTCGAACGTGCATCTTTAACTGTAGAGTTACGAGAGTCTCTGTTTTGACATGTACATTAAGACGCCTGGAGATACCGTTGACAAGACACTGGAGCTTTGTCTTGACGTCCTTTTTCTCAGCTTCCCACGCCGCTTTGTACTAGTTTCATAACATTATTGACTCAGAAGTGCAGCATAAAATGCTCCGTTTGTAGTCCCCCAAAATGATATTCTTGGCACCCAAGAACACGGAGACTAAACTTTCCAGCTGATGGGACACTCTTCCTTGGTGGTAGATCCCCGGCCACATCATACCAAAAGACGTTCAACGATGGTACTTGTTGTTCTCCTGTCTGGCGCTCGGCATTAAGGGACTAAATCAAGGACTGCTCGGCACGGAGTCAGTATACTGTGTCTATTCATGTTAAACTGCGGCACGGTATCTCAGTGGTCTAGCGCTATAAATCGGCATCAGTCCGGACTAGCAAAAGCAGCCACACACACACACACTTGCATGCACGTCGCTATATAAGTGCAATAATCTTGTACGCGACGTTAGACCCTATTTAACATCACCTCGCTTTGGTGTAGGGGATGTCAAATACTTCCACTGTTTTGGACTCAGAATGGAAAGGTGAAACAAGGTTTCATCCATAGTCACAAATCGTTGCAAGAACCTTACTGGATCAGCTTCAAACAGAGCTAGATTATCACGAGACATGTTGCGGTTTTTTTTCAGATGTCAAAAACTTTGGAACCCAACGAGCTGATACATTCTTCGTTGCCAGTTTCTGTGATAATGGAATGGAGGCATTCGGGGAGTGTCATTAAAGGACAGTGTCAAGGTTCACCTTCCCACGCTTCAACACCGCTGTCTGCCTCTTTACTGTGGCACAGGAAGGGGCATCCTTCCTCAACGCTGTACTCATATCTTTGTGGATGGAGTTTAGTGTACATCCCGTTTCCGGCAAGTACTTGATCACTGCCTTTCCTGAAATTTGTTCTTTTCCCAAAGGACACTGCTTATGTTACTGACTTACTGCGGCACAATTTGCTCATTTGATTCTTTTTTTTTGTGGATAGAACTTTCTTAAACTGCGAGACCTTCTCAGTGGTCTTTTGGGATAGAGCGTCTGCCCAGAAAGCGAAGGTCGGTGCTTCTATGCCCCGCCGCGTCATGCCAAAATACGTTAAAAAATGGTACTTGTTGTAACCGTGCCTGGTGCTCAAACAATGACTGGTCGGGTCTGAGACGAAATAATGTGGTATGGTATCTGAGTAGGCTAGCACTGTAAAACCGGCGTTAGACTGGAGTGGTAGAGTATGTTGGCTGGTTGGTTTGTTGTTCAACGCCGCACTCAGCAATATTCCAGATATATGACGGCGGTTTGTAAATAATCGAGTCTGGACCAGTCAATCCAGTGATTAATATCATGAGCATCGATCCACGCAATTGGGATCGATGACATGCATCAACCAAGTCAGCAAGACTGACCACCCGATCCCGTCAGTCGCCGCTTACGACAAGCATAGTCGCCTTTTACGGCAAGGATGGGTTGCTGAAGACCTATTCTTACCCCGGATCTTGACGGGTCGGTATAGTGTGTGTGTGTGTGTGTGTGTGTGTGTGTGTGTGTGTGTGTGTGTGTGTGTGTGTGTGTGTGTTGCGCCACCAGAATGAAGAATTTACGTGCAATGATCTCACCCCAAACTGCTAATATTTTAAATGTTTTGTGACGGAATGATTTTAACAACAAAGGGAATTTGTTAAGTCAGTATAAAACGCCATGTCCACAGCCAAACGACTTCGTCGACGATATTATCCCCTGAGCTCTAGATGTATTGATAAAATGATTAAAGGCACGCGAAAGTGCACACTCATATCTTTCTGTACTGCACGTGTTCACAATACCGAACTATACACATTTTAACACTATATGTTCATTATACGTGTCGAGAAATATATCCCAATATGTCCCAATAATTGCAGGAGAAATCACATTTACATAGGCATCTTCTTTCACCACTTATAGAGTATAACGTCTCTATAAACTAGCTGTTCTCTCCAAATCCAATTGAAGCATCCAAGTGGTCAACTCTCAACCCACTACATTGGTAGGTTAGGTCAAGTAGGATAACATTGTGGCTTGTGTTAGATACGTACTTGGCCTGTTTACTGTTGACATCATGGGTGTTAACATCTCCGATTAAACTAATTAAAAAGATTAATATGAATATAGATACATATGATACACATACACTCTAAACCCAAGTGTTCCACTTCTGAACACTAGACAGAACACATGGATGTAACACTTTTAGAACGCGTCCATGTGTTCTGAAAATATTCTGAACGTTGATGTTCTCGACCCAGAACAGGAGTGTTCTACAAACATATTTAGAACGCTTCAACGTGTTCTGACGATGTAACGCTTTTAGAACGCCTGTAAAGTGTTCTGGACCGAGATTCAGAACACTACACGTTCTCGGACACGTACTTCCACATTACTGAAACGACAACTCATCGTGTGTGTCGAATACAATTTACCCGATGTTTTTCAAGGTGTAAGAATTTAAACCATACACCCATGCATATTCTCTGGCATAAAATCACACGGACGAAATTCTGAACTGCAACCATGAATTCTTTATTATATTTGTTTGGGATGATCATGGATATTCAAGTCACTTATGAGTCAGAGTTCTTCATGAAACATTACAAACTGTTGTGTAGCAAATTGAAGCATACTTCCATACTTAAGATAACTTAAGTTTCAAGCGCATGTACTTCGCAGATGTTTCTTGTGGGTAAATATCCCCAAAGGACGATGTTCGTAACAGCGACATGACCATCGCAGGCTTCAGGAAACTTCATGTCAAATATGACTCCCCAACATCCTACAACACAAAACATTTATTTGATCATAGTCATATAGTTATCAAACTCGTACATATTACATAGGACATTCTAACAAATGTTCGTTAGTAAACCCAAGATTACCGTGACATTTGTTTCATTATTTATAGGTTGCAAAATGTTTTGCCAAAAATGTCATTTGACTAACAAAGTTACCACTTACTTGGATAAAGGTTAGAGCAAAATATACACAAGTACCTTCTTATTTGATCTGCAAAACCTTGTGTCTTTTCCTCCTTTGTGTAGACGTGTGCCCTGTGCAATAATTTCCATGGATGGTACTGATTATCTGCAATGCACCCTGAAATAGAAACAACAAGACTGATTCTCTAAAATATTTCACATAAAATAGCCAAAAACATGTCCTGTGAAGGTTTAGTTCTTTTTGTTCATTACATACTTACACTACTCTCTGCTGATTTCGATGCATTGTCGATGCTTGCTGATCATGCCCTCGGATCCCAAATTAGATGTTCAGAGATTTGTTGCACGTAGCCCGCTTCGCACTATGGCGATTCATATAGAACCTGAAATATATATTCATTTTATTTGAACATCATTCAAATAAACGGAAACGTTCAAATAGTGACACTTGCAATTTGGATTGGAATTTCATCTCATAATTTATAAATAAAGCGTGTGGAACAATGGCAGAAATGACAGTCAAAATGGCGAGTAATATGTCGTCTGCTATGCGTTTTGTAAGGGGCCGGTTTTACTTCGTTGGGATCAGCATATGAATATATCGCCGAAATATTACATTATTTTAGGTACGTATTAAATATGAAACAAAAGTATTCCTAGATGGATACTTACCCCAGACACCTCAGATCATAGGAAATTGTAGCGCCAAATACATGCGACGTCACGCCAGTTTCTCACATAACGGATGTGAATCACAGAGCATGGACAGCTTTGAATGCTTGTTAGAAAAACAGAACACCGATGTTCTATTAATGGAACACGTGTTCTCGCATATAACATTATAGAACACAGCAGAACACATGCGTTCTAGGAGAGAACGCAGGCGTTCAGCAAATAGACCGTATATGTTCCAGAGCACCCATTAACTCTTTCAACACCAGTCAACCAGAAGTGTTTACTGCTGGGACACCGAGTTCCCAGAGACTCTTGTGTGATAGATGAAGCCAATATTTATCAAAGAAAATACCTGCTTCTAAAATATATTTGCTACTACATGTTATACACCATTTGAAAGGTCTCATCCTATGGTTTATAAATATGAAAGTTATGTTTTTCACATTATTTAAAATAATGCATTTACAACTTAATTAAATTCGTTGTAAATAAAAAATGTACGCTAACACGTTGTTAACATCCAGATTAAGGACCAAGGAAGTGAAAACTTGACGATTTTCGGCAAATATATGATTTCATAATATCCACGTACCTATTTCTGTTTTATTTTCATTGTTTACGTAATTGGAAAATCATTTTAAAAAGAATTATAAATAGTTTCTGTCATCACCCATTTCCCGATAACAGCGACTGTCCGCTCAGTAAAATGAAGAAATACCCCCGTTTTCGAGGTTTCGTTTGAATAACACGTTCGTCGAAGAATGGCATATGACACATCGCTGGAAAGCTTATTCCTTCATCTACACGCTCGTAACATCGACTGGTGTTTTTTCGTTGTTATAACAAGCGATTTCATTGGATTAAAATTGGTTTCTAATGACGCTTTCTTGCTGAAATCTGCTACAAGTTTCGTGATTGGTCAATTTTGAGCACGTGACCTCAGGCAGCCAATCAAATTACAGCTGTGATACCAAGCTCGTGTTCGATAAATTACAGAAGTTTGCGAAAGAAATTTGTTAAATCGTGTTATTCTGAACGTTTTGAGCAGGAAATCACGATATATATTAAAAATATGGAACTTCGTGAATGTATCGTGCTAGGTTACGAGCTGTGACAAAGAATTTTCATGCATATATTTTTGCATTAAACATCGTGTCCGAGCCGAGAATTCAAGGCGGCGAAAGCCGAGATGTCATTTGACTTACATTACACGCGATCGCACGAAAAGATGGAAATAATAACTTAGATGTAAGTTTGATTACTTTTAGATATATTTTTGTTGATTTTATTTATTACTTTGTATAATATATTTAAAGATTTGTTTAAAACTTCTTTATTTTCCTCTTTGACGTGTTCGATGTGGACCAGTAGGCGAAATGTGTGTCCGAGAATTTTATTTTCAATAACATCGCGGGAAATAGTGAATAATTTTTTAATTTAAAGATAAAAAATGTTAAATTGAAATTGAATATGTATTTCAGACATTGTGAAATGTGATAGATTTAATAAATGAATGATATTACAGGTAGGTCCATAAAAATATATACTATTTTGACGTGACTACTGGCTTGGCCGGATAACCGGCCTGCGGTGTCTGGGGACTCGATGCTTCTTGGCCGGATAACCGGCCTACGGTGTTGAAAGAGTTAAAGATCCAGCTAAAATTAGCCATCAGAATGCCAGTGTTCTGATACACGTAAATGTCCCCAATGCAAGCAAGTTATTTCCATGTATTAGCAATGAGTTGTATTTCAGTAATGTTTCTTGTTGTATTTATTCAGGCTACATATGAGTTATTATTAACACAAAGTATGCCATGTTTATAAACTATTTATTATTCATCAAACTCAAAATATAACCCTTCTTATACACATTTTCTGTTTGACATACCAATCTACCAGCCTCTCTTCTTCTCAAAAATAAATATTCCGAAAACACAAATATGATGGTCGAATTTAAATTTGTCTAACAGCATTCAGCACATTAACTCTGCTAATGTGCATGGACTTCTCCCAGGAGAGAACACACGCGTTCTACATCAGATCACAGGCGTTCAGCAATAGAACACGTGCTGCACGAATTAGAACATTCGTATTCTGTGGCAGAACGTATGGACGCGTCCAGTGTTCTATATTAGAACACATAGATTTAGAGTGTAGATCACATACAATATGATCAGATTTATATACCGCCCTACTCACTCGCGATGCATGCCAATGGACTTGCCGTGATTTACCATAATTTCCATTGGATACACAGCCTGTCCTTTGTATTTACATTAATTAAAGAACTGTTACCTTTGGCGTCACATCTGTCTGAAAGATCCAACTTTGCGTCGCCCGAGTAGCGAATGTCGGATCTACTGCTCATTTCGAGAGTGATCGTCCAACAGATCGAGACGTCGGTTATTTAGTTGATGACAAGCCAAGTCTTCAAAACTACATTCAAGTATATACCCACGGAGCAGTCATTTACATAATTCCCACTTTACATTGTACATAGTGGACGCACAAGTCGTAGGTACACCTGTGCGTTATCGGGTGGAGTAGTCGGGAAGAACTGAATAAGAAAGGCTTGAAGCCGACAGTACGTGCGTGAGTTTGAAAGCGGCATAGGTTTGTTTGTTTGTTGGTTGGTTGTTTAACGCCGCACTCAGCAATATTCCAGCTATATGACGGAGGTCTGTAAATAATCGAGTCTGAACCAGACACTCCAGTGATTGACATCATGAGCATCGACCTACGCAATAAGGATACGATGAAATGTATCAAGCAAGTCGGCGAGCCTGACCAATCCCGTTTGTGCCTCTTACGACAAGCATAGCCGCCTTGTACGGCAAGAATTGGTTGCTGAAGACCTATTCTACCCCGGATGTTGACGGGTCGTATAGGTTCGTCACTGCACTGGAATAATGCAGATGCGACGTTAAATTTTAACTCACTCACTGCACTGGACGGGGAGGAAGAGGGGAACGCGCGTCATCATCACCTTGAAACATTTTGCGGTAAGTAATATTCAAGCAATATCACGTCAGCCTGTATATTATCAAGCCTGGGCCAAATAAAACAGTGAATGAGTGAGTGAGTGAGTGAGTGAGTGAGTGAGTTAGGTTTAACGCCGCTTTTAACATTATTCCAGTTATATCACGGCGTGTCAGCTTAATGTGGGAGGAAAATCCGAAGTGATGCAGGTCTCAGACGTTTACCACTTCGGTGAAACCCACGAGCACGGGTATGGTGCTGACAAACCTAGAAACATAATCGGGGCGAACCGGGATTCAAAACAGTGAATGACATTATACTGCGTAACTGCAATGTTGTTAAAAGCGGCGTAAAACTATACTCGTTAACGCGCTCCTTCGTATATATTGTGTGTGGGACGTCGTCCAAGCTGTTACAGATCGTCACAGTGTATCTGGGCCTTGACACACTGTCGCACGTAATTCTGCGTGTATAATGCCATGGCGTAGAAAATGTGAATACAAATCACATTGTGAAATAACTTTTATTGAAGGCATGTTTTATGAATGAATAGATCGCGCACCTTTACGATTCTTTGTATCAAACTCTGAAAGAAGCTTCCTATAATGGGGAACTAGTGAGGCAACAGAGGACACAGTCAGAGCCGTCAGGATCACACCCATCAGGAAGTAATACCCGGCCCCCTTCGTGTCGAGCCTTGTGACTGTCTGCTCGTGGGCTCTACCAGCGGTAAACGTCTATACGGCCTGCATGCAATACTGTGGGTTTTCTCCAACGGCAAACGCCGTGATAAAAACATACTGTTCAAAGCGCGTTAAACCTAAAACACTCGGCCCGATCTCATTAAAGTCAGATCATAGTTCTCGCTACCGCTAAACAAAACTTTGGTAGCCAGAACTAAAATCGTATTTTAATGAATTGTACTGGTCCATACTTTAGTTCATATTAGTATTGTCTTGATAGCTTCGAGTTTAATCATCGGGTCTACAGTGGTGATATTCATAGTATGGTAACCGTCCCTTCTTCAAACTGTTTGTGGGGTAGAATAGGTCTTCAGCAACCCATGCTTGCCATAAAAGGCGACTATGCTTGTCGTAAAAGGCGACTAACGGGATCGGGTGGTCAGGCTCGCTGACTTGGTTGATGCATGTCATCGATCCCATTTGCGTGGATCGATGCTCATGATGTCAATCACTGGATTGTCTTGTCCAGACTCGATTATTTACAGACCGCCGTCATATAGCTGGAATATTGCTGAGTGCGGCGTTAAACAACAAACCAACTAAAATCAAACTGTTTGTTGATGAACGTCGCTTTCAGCAACTAACCATCTATATGACGGCGGTCTGTAAATAATCGAGTCTGGACCAGACAATCAAGTGACTGACATCGATCCACGGTATTGGGATACGATGACATGCATCAACCAAGTCAGCGAGCCTGACCACTCGATCTCATTAGTCCTCTCTTGCGACAAGCATTGTTGACTTCAGTCACATGTTACGACAACCATGGGTTGCTGAAGACCATTTCTAACCCGGAGCTTCATGGAAACATTATGAGGGAACAAATACACTTAATCAATGACAATCTCATTTTATGCAAGCGCTTTTGCTGTGCGTTACAGTAAATAAACGGTTGTTTTTATAGTAGATGTGTGACATGAGACGGACTGCATGCTTTAAATAACACTTGACCAGAGGCTGTCTATGG